TTGAACTCCGGGCCTGGGTGCAGTCCCTCAGCTCTTCAGCTCAAGACAAGCACTCTTACCACTTGAGCCACAGCACCACTTCCGGTTTTATGGTGGTTAATTGGAAGTAAGACTTTTTAATTGGAAGTAGGACTACTTTCCTGCCCAGGCTGGCTTTGAACTGCCATCCTCTGATCTTAGCCTCCTCGGTAGCTAAGATTACAGTCATGAGCCACTGGCACCCAGCCTACGCATTGTTTTTGGGGTGTTGAAATACAATTATTGAGCCATACCTCCAACTCTTTTGCTTCAATTGTTTTTCATGGTGTCTTGTGGTTTTGCTTGGGGCTACCATGATCTTCATATATATGCTTCCCTCATTGCTAGCATTGCCGTGCATGCTTCCTTACCCAGATGTGGGTTGAGATGGAATCTTACTAATATTTTGCTCCAGCTAGCCTCAGACTACAATCCTTTTCATCTCTGCCTCTTGAGTGTCTGGAATTACGGGCATGGACCATCACGCCTGGCTCTCCTGTGCATGTTCAGTGGGTATAAAGCGTGATGAGATTCAGGTTTGAGGTTTTTCTTGTTGGGATTTATTTCTTAGCAAGTGTTGTAACTGTCAGTAAGGAAGCATATGATGAAGTATATAATGATATGCATTTTTAAAGATGTCTCCACATTGTCTTACAGAATTGTTGTTTTAGCCTTTACTTTCATTGTGCCTAAAAGTATCACATGGTTCTAAAATGTTTTTCCTAGCATTACTTATTCAATAAGTGCTAGCTGTGAGCAAAAAGAGCTCAGTGTTGGCACTGAATTTAAGCCCACAACTGACAAAAACAAAAACAAAACAACAACTAAAAAAGTTTGTGTGCTTTGTCCACATGAGGCAAGAAACCTTTATTTCTTGGGGAATTTTTCAGCCTCAGCCCTAGGTTATTTCTTTTTACTTCTTGAGACTTGATGATATGGAAGATATATCTTTTATATTCACACTGGTCCCAACACTGCTTTCAGGATATTTTCTCTCTGTCATTTAAATTAAGTAGTTTCTATTATTGTCTTCTACCTCATCAATCAGGTCTTTTCCCTGTCCTCTCCTTTCTGCTATTGCATCTATCCTTTGGGTATGATATTTGATCTGTTGTGACTTTTTAGTCCTAAAATGTCCATTTAGTATTTACATTGGTCATTTCTTGCTTTGCCCTATTTCTTGTATATATATTTTCCCTTTGGTACTCTTTATAAAGTTTTTCTTTCAAGTATGTGTATAATTGCTCCTTGAGCCATTTGTTAATCATGACCAGTTAAAAATTATTTTCAGATCATTTTTCCTTTCTCTGATGTTTTGACATTGGCATATGTAGATTGTCTTTGTTTTTCCACTAAGTTTGAGATTATGTTTAATTCTTGATATGATGAGTGATTATTCATTTGATACCTAGATGTTTGGGGAATTATGTTCTGAGATTCTGTAATTTGTTTAAATGTCCTGATTCAGCTGGCTTTTTCTGGAACTGCTGTAGCATGCTGTGCCTTATTACTGCCCTATGGATACTGCTCCATGCTCTCTACTTTACCTCTTTTGAAACTCACGTTGGGGGTTGATTCTAACTTACTCAAGGTCAAGGAAGGGAATTCTGCCCTACTCAGAGACTCCTTCCCTGAAGGGAGCAGGAGCAGGAGTTGCTTCCTTATTACCGTTCTTAACATGGTCACTACAGGGATGTGGTCTTTACTGTGAGGAGGTAAGAGGCCTGAGTCACCAGTAGGCCTCCTCTGATACCTAGCTACCTATAGCAGAGAGGGGAAGGAGTCTCTTGTTACTGTCAGGTGGAAGTCAAGCTCACTCTTGGTCTTCACTGACACCATGAGAAGAGAGGTCTTCATCTGCTGGAGGGCTCTGGTAAGGAAAATTTTTTTGTAAGGAAAACTTTTGTAAGGAAAATTGAGTGCTTTCACCCAAACTACAGTTTTGTGTTTTGTTTTGTGATGTTTAGCTAACTGTAACCACTTTTGTCTGGATTGTCTCATTCCTGATCATTTGACTAGGGAGAGAAATGGTTAGTTTTGCTTGCTTGCTTGATTCTTTTAGGGAGTAGATAGGGAATCTGATGTTTTTAGGCTGCCAACTTTAGCTCCAAGTCTAGGATGTATAAAGTAGAAAAGAAAAAAAAATAAAGTAGAAAAGAATACTCACAGAACTTAGCTATCACATTAATGTTCCTTGGATCCTGAGCTCTCTACCTGCTCTGTTTTCTCTCTTCCTTCAGTCTTAAGTATGCTATGGATAATGTCCAGGGCTGGTTCACTTAGAATCAATCTTTCCTTCTCTTTCCTTCTCCCTTTCTTTCTTTCTTTCTTTCTTTCTTTCTTTCTTTCTTTCTTTCTTTCTTTCTTTCTTTCTTTCTTTCTTTCTTTCTCTTTCTTTTTTCTCTCTCTCTCTTTCTTTCTTTCTTTCTGTCTGTCTGTCTTTCTGTCTTTCTCCCTCCATCCTTCCCTCTTATGCTTCCTCCTCCCCCTTCCCCTTCCCTCCTCCCTCCATCTCCCTTGCTCTCTTTCTCTTCCTCCCTTTTCCCCCTTCTCTCTTCCTCCCTCTCTCTTCTTTCTCCCCCTCCCTCAATCCCTCCTTTTCCTCCTTCCCTCCATTTTTTTTCTTGTGCTAGAGGTAAATCCAAGGCTTTTCTCAGGTGAGGAAAGTACCACTGAGCTACACTGCTAGTCCAAGTATTTTACTTTTCAGTTGCTTTGTTTTGCTGTAATTATCATTAAAATCCCCTGTAGCTCTTTACACAAGCATCCATATACTTACTATGCTTGCATGTGCTTGATTGGATAGAATTTTGTCACTGTAGCTCTTTTTGAAAACTTAAAAATAGGGCTGGGAAGGTGGCTCAGTGGTAGAGCGCTTGCCTTGCATGCCTGAGGCCCTGGGTTCGATTTCTCAGCACCACATAAGCAAAAAAGAAAAAAAAAAGAAAACTTAAAAATACTATAATTTTACTAAGGTATACAGAGGGGTTACCGTTTTATAGGTCAGGTAATGAGTACATTTCTTTTTTTTTTAACAATCACGCCTTTGCTTTTTTTTTGTTTTAAATAAAAATCTGGTGCATTGTGAGAAATAAAGTTTCATAATTAATCTTTTCTACTTCAGTGGTATTGAAGTTTGACTGAGGACTTGATACTTATTAGGAAGGGACTTTACCTCTTGAGCCAGGCCTCTAGCCCATTTTTGTTTGTTTTTGAGAGTCTTATTAAAACATGCACAAAGGCTGTGAATGTGGCTTAGTGGTAGAGTGCTTGCCTAGCATGCACAAAGCCCTGGGTTCATTTCCTTAGCCCCACATAAACAGAAAAAGCAGAAAGTGGCATTGTAGCTCAAGTAGTAGTGCTAACCTTCAGCAAAAAAAGCTTAGGAATGGTACTCAGGCCCTGAGTTCAAGCCACAAGACTGGCGAGAGAGAGAGAGAGAGAGAGAGAGAGACACACACACACACACACACACACACACGCACACACACACACACACACACACAGAGTCAGGTGGTAGCTCATGCCTGTCAGGCACAGGAGAAAGATTATTATGAGGTTTATTAGAGGGGCCATATATCCCCCTGGAGAGGGAACAATATGGCATCTGCCCTCATACTGGTGGGTAACTCTGGGTTAAATGGCATGCACAGGTAGGTCTGGGAGGGAGTGGCCAGTTATGTGGTGGAAACTCTAGGTTAGGGAGGAGCTCAGGTTCTAGTGGAGCTAAGGACCAGAGGTGGAGATAATGCTAACACCTGTAATCCTCAGAAGGCTGAGATCTGAGGATCACAGTTCAAAGCTAGCCCAACAGGAACTTCTGTGAGACTCTTATCTCCATTTAACACCAGAAAACAGGAAGTGGCACTGTGGTTCAAAGTGGTAGTGTGCTAGCTGTGAGCAGAAAGAGCTCAGAGACAGTGCCCAAGACCTGAGTTCAAACCCCAAGACTGTCCAAAAACCCAAAACTACATAAAATCTCTAGACAGAGAAAGTGTACCAATGTAGTTTTATAAATTAGTTACATCGTTTTTTTAGAGCTATACAAAAGATGAAACTAGTTACTGCTTCTCCTCTCCCCTCCCCTCCCCTCCCCTGCCCTCCCC